TTGTCATCAAAAGGAAAAAGATTGGGGAAACACTCACTCACTTTCTCTATGGCTAAAACATCAAAATGATGAATATACAGATGCAAATGTATGCACCACTTGACTCATCCCATGACTTTAAACCATAGCTGAAGACAGATTATCACATCAAGTTGAAACCAAATTAACCCAAATCCAACACTTAAGGCATGTACTAAGTCACCAATGAGCCAATTACGAGTACTGCCCGCCTCTCCCTTTTCCTTGATTTTAGAAAATATTTAACGTTATTTCATATTGCTGTTCCTAATGTCTATAACAATATAGTAATTATAATGTATATAGTAAAAAAAAAACACCATGGATATTCATAACATTAGTAAAAATAACATTTTTTATGACAATTCAAGGAAAGGTGAAATCAGGTAAAGTCACCGGGTTTACTAATTGATTCCTTTGTGGCTAAGCACTAGCACAGCCATCTATGTGCAGACATATTTCACAAAAATATAAAAAAATGTACATAGCATTTTCTCAGCAGCACTGAGTTAAAAAAAAGAAAAGAAATTTAGCATAATACATCTCTATTTCACAATGTAAATAAACTGCAGCATGTACATCAGAATTATTATTTGTCGGGAATTTCCTTAATTCGGGGATTTCCATATACAGAAATAAAGAAACTTTTGTTAACTTTAGTCTGCTCCATTCAAAAAACAGGATATCTCTTAATATAAAATCTATAATACATCTGGGTTACTCAGTAACAACATTTATTAACTGATGTCGTATATCCTTAGGTTTTATAGTTTATGTATCAAGAACAGTATATATTCAGGCAAGTGCAGTCTTGTAGAAAACAAATGGGCAAAATATGCATCTGTATCTTCAGTATAAAACCCATCAAAATTGAAGAAAGTAAATGAATTTTCTGAATTGCAGAAAATATCTGGTTAAAAAATAAATACAGAAAATGAGGACAATTTATAAACAAATTTCATATCAGTTTTTTATGCTGGAAGAGACAAAACACGTTCGCATAGAAATTCAACTTTCACAGTCAAATGTACCACAAAATTTATAACAATATAGTGAACAGTTCATACAAGTCTTGTCCATGGAAGTATTTCAGTGATGTTATTTATAAAAAATTACAATGGATTGCATAACAACACTCAACCTAATTTGAGAAGTTTCATCAAAACATTATTAAACACCTGAGCTTTTTTTTTTTAATGATATTCCAAAGATAAGAGAAAAAAAAAGGAAAGTACAAAAATAACAATATGATAACGAAATGATGATCATTATTAAAATATTGATAACCCTTGCTTAAACGTACACATTCCCACTGCCTCAAGAACTCAGACTCCTTCATCTGCTTCTTCCAGGATTTTCTTGCCATAAGCTAAGTCCCAGTATTGTTCCACTCCATGCTTCTTAAAATGATCTCTTGCAAAAGATTCTGTGGGGCATGCCTTGAACTGCATCTGTAGATATGGATTAACTATTAATGAATAGGATGATAATCAAATAAACAAATATATTGCAATAATAAATCATACCTTCAGTTGTTATGACTTCACAGAAAGGGATACTTGCCTCCCCAAAGCTTCTTTCAGGTACAGATCCTTCCCAAATCATCTGGCATTTTGATTCTAGTTCAGCATCTTTCGAACGTGATTCTTCTGCCCATTTAATTCGCTCCATCATCAGCCTAAAAGTGAAAATACATTAATATCTAAGAAATGTAAAGTAGAATACAGTATAAAGAGATTTGATTTATATTTTGATATGTCATAGTCAACTTAATTTATACAAGTCTTCAGAAACATGAAATTGTATATACAAAAATGATCTTAATTTACTCTACAAACTGTTGTGATTACCCACTTCCTGTATTTTTTTTGTTGTTTGGGTCCTCCTTCCACAACAACTACATTAATATCCTTAAACAAAACAACTGTACCAGTCAAAAACAGCTGTTTTGCATTGGTTTCAACCTTAAACTTGTGGGAGCCATTTGAAAAGTCTGTCACTCTGAAAAAGAAGATATGTTGAGATAATATTGATTATACTTTTTATAAAACTGTAGCTTATAACAGTCCTTATAACCCCTTCCCGACGGGTCACGTCTATAGGCGTGGAAACAAAGTGCTCGAAATGTAGTGTGCGGCTGTGCACCAAAACACGGCGAGCCAGTGATTCGGCCTGATGTACCAAACTCCCGTGCTTAAAGTCAGCATGCTGCCTTTGTTAGCCAGAGCGTAGAGTTTTTTTTTTTAGTTTTCTTAACCCGTCACCAAGGGGATAAGTACCAATCTCTGATTTTAATTAGTCAATGAAAGCCAAAAAAAATAGTGAGAAATTCCTACATTCACTAACTATAAATAATACTTTTATTTGCTTCCATCAAAAATTACATTATGAACAGCCAGAATTAAAACATCTAAAAAAACAAAGAAGAGAAAACACACATGTTTGCACACAAATTTCATAAGGTGTTTGCCTTTAAATTTTCATTTCCTTCACTGCTAACCAATTCCCCTCTGCCCCCCTTTTCTCAGAAAAATAAGTTATCCTTGCAATGAAATTTCTAATATGACATTTTCTTATCTGACAACTTTTAACCTTCTTTATATCTGCCAATTTTCAGCAATGTAAAACATCAATTATATTTCTGGCTACATGGCTATAAACTTCCTATCCCGGTAGCCACCATTTTCACCAGAATTCAATTTGTTGCTCATTGAAGTGAAAATAAAGGTTAAAAGACAAATGGAATAAATATCATCAAAGCTGGTAGGTAGATGTCAATATATACAAAAGCAATGGATAAATATTGAGTTAGGGATGTCAGAAGAGTAAATAATGTGGAAATTCCATAAACTCTTTCCAGCTGCTAACACCTTCAAACTTCCACTTATTGATGTATAGGCAAGATTTCGTGGACTGAAAGCATAACATGTCAACATTCCCTATGAAAACTCCAAATACACCAGCCACAACCAAATATACTAACTTGTACACTGATACATGGACTCCTGTGGTAGTATCTTCCTTGAGTTTCCTGATTTTCTTATCCCGCCTCTGATCCGGTGTGAGCTTTCTTGCTGCGTTGGCATCCTGGTGAGCCTTCAGTCTTTTGGCCATCTGTTCCCTCACATGCTTCTCCATCTTTGTTGGATCCAGGACAGCCTCTGTCCCTAACACACGCATCAAGTTTGCCATTCGCACCTATACATAAAGAATTAGCTTTCAGCAATAGATCCCACCACTTGCTTCACTCTCTAGCCAGGCAAGCAGATATATCAAAATGAATCAATCATTGAAAAAATTACATAAAATATTATAAAGAAAATACAATACAAAGTACATTTTAAATCTCTAATTGGTCTTGTTTACTTTCCCCAAAAATACACAATTAACCCCATTGCCAATGGGTGGCAAATATGTCCATACTACTACATTGATGGACTTATTACCAAATGGCTTGTACCACCATGCTGCATGTACTGGAACTTATTCTAAGTTACACTAAACAGTTACATGCTTGTTTAGCCATAACTGCAGTCACTGAAGATTTACAGCCCTTCAAAAGTAGACTTAGACTCATTTACTGGAATTCATGGAAGATGTAGCTAAAACTGTAGAGGGTAGGAGGGAAGGGACAAGTGTACGGTTTTCAAAATGGAGAAAATGTCAATCAGTTTTTGACATGCCCTGTATAATCTATGGGTCACTAGTCTCAGTCCTGCTAATTCCTGAATCATGTGGGCTGTACATATGATGCATACACACAAATTATTATCAACACTTTCATGGGTTTCTCTCTGCTTTGACATAATGAGATAAGCTTCCTGGAAATCAATTTTTTTTTTTTTTTTTTTTTTTTTTTTTTTTTTTTTTTTTTTTTTTTTTTTTTTTTTTTTTTTTTTTTTTTTTTTTTTTTTTTTTTTTTTTTTTTTTTTTTTTTTTTTTTTTTTTTTTTTTTTTTTTTTTTTTTTTTTTTTTTTTTTTTTTTTTTTTTTTTTTTTTTTTTTTTTTTTTTTTTTTTTTTTTTTTTTTTTTTTTTTTTTTTTTTTTTTTTTTTTTTTTTTTTTTTTTTTTTTTTTTTTTTTTTTTTTTTTTTTTTTTTTTTTTTTTTTTTTTTTTTTTTTTTTTTTTTTTTTTTTTTTTTTTTTTTTTTTTTTTTTTTTTTTTTTTTTTTTTTTTTTTTTTTTTTTTTTTTTTTTTTTTTTTTTTTTTTTTTTTTTTTTTTTTTTTTTTTTTTTTTTTTTTTTTTTTTTTTTTTTTTTTTTTTTTTTTTTTTTTTTTTTTTTTTTTTTTTTTTTTTTTTTTTTTTTTTTTTTTTTTTTTTTTTTTTTTTTTTTTTTTTTTTTTTTTTTTTTTTTTTTTTTTTTTTTTTTTTTTTTTTTTTTTTTTTTTTTTTTTTTTTTTTTTTTTTTTTTTTTTTTTTTTTTTTTTTTTTTTTTTTTTTTTTTTTTTTTTTTTTTTTTTTTTTTTTTTTTTTTTTTTTTTTTTTTTTTTTTTTTTTTTTTTTTTTTTTTTTTTTTTTTTTTTTTTTTTTTTTTTTTTTTTTTTTTTTTTTTTTTTTTTTTTTTTTTTTTTTTTTTTTTTTTTTTTTTTTTTTTTTTTTTTTTTTTTTTTTTTTTTTTTTTTTTTTTTTTTTTTTTTTTTTTTTTTTTTTTTTTTTTTTTTTTTTTTTTTTTTTTTTTTTTTTTTTTTTTTTTTTTTTTTTTTTTTTTTTTTTTTTTTTTTTTTTTTTTTTTTTTTTTTTTTTTTTTTTTTTTTTTTTTTTTTTTTTTTTTTTTTTTTTTTTTTTTTTTTTTTTTTTTTTTTTTTTTTTTTTTTTTTTTTTTTTTTTTTTTTTTTTTTTTTTTTTTTTTTTTTTTTTTTTTTTTTTTTTTTTTTTTTTTTTTTTTTTTTTTTTTTTTTTTTTTTTTTTTTTTTTTTTTTTTTTTTTTTTTTTTTTTTTTTTTTTTTTTTTTTTTTTTTTTTTTTTTTTTTTTTTTTTTTTTTTGTTTTATTATGTGGTTTAGAGCTTGTAAAGAGAAATATCTTTGTTCAGTAGGAAGAAGAAACTTTATCCAAATTTAACCACTTTGTAATGGATATATAGATATAGAGGTTAATAGGTAGATAGGTAGGTAGGTGGGAAGGTGAATAGGTAGATGGGAAGGTGGGTGGGTGAGAGGTGGGTGGTTAGGCAAGTAGGTAGATGAGTAAGTAGGTTGGTAGGTGAGTATGCAGGTAGGTAGGTAAGGAGGTAGGTTTGATGATTCAGACTTCAGTGCTGCATAGTGTTAATGGCAATAACATAACTTAACAAGAGAAAATGTGAGTCTGTTGCACATCATAAATAAGTGCAAAAATGGCAACCATTCTGAAGACCAAAGCTGAAATACAAAAACAAAAACATAAAAGAAAAAGCTTGTGTATAAGTTTATGAGGAATTTATGTGGCAGTGGAGCACATTTTCACAAGTGTACAAACTGTACACTAGGGGTAGGAGGGAAGGGACAAGCGTACGGTTTTCAAAATGGAGAAAATGTCAATCAGTTTTTGACATGCTCTGTATAATCTATGGGTCACTAGTCTCAGTCCTGCTAATTCCTGAATCATGTGGGCCGTACATATGATGCATACACACAAATTATTATCAACACTTTCATGGGTTTCTCTCTGCTTTGACATAATGAGATAAGCTTCCTGGAAATCAATTTTTTTTTTTTTTTTTGGTACACTTTTTGAGGGGGGGAGGGGGGGTTCCATAAAGCATATGCTTTGTACGCCTGTGAAAATGATGAAAATTGTGAACCACCCCCTTTTGAATAAAATTGAAAAGGGGGACATTTACAGGGTTATCTTGTTTATTAGATGACAAATAGTTAATTTCATTGGTCTGCAATCAACCATAACTACAATAATAGCATATCAGTATATATATCATCCATTAGAACTAGCTACATATGAAACATGCTTACTTTTATTAGCCATACATGGAAAAGCAAATGCAATATCCAAACATTTGTTTCTACAATGTAATTTACAGAATTTCACTAATCTGTACTCTTGTAGATCATTGCTTATCAATGATAAAATCTGATGTTCATAAGCTTGCAGTTCCCAAAAAGTTAACCAGGTTGTTAGGTTATCATACAGTAATGAAAGTTTGGCTTACAAGAGGATGTATTTAATACATTATTTTTTTCTCTCTCTTTTCAGCAAGAGGCTTCTATTTTGCCATTAACCCCTTCCCGATAGGTGACGCCGATAGGCGTGAAAACAAACCGCTCGAAAGCTGGCTTGCGGCTGTACGCCGCGGTGGCACGCCAGATCGCAGCAAGCCAGTGATTTGGGCTGATGTACCGAACTCACGCGCTCAAAGTCGGCGCACCACCTTTGTTTGCCAGAGCGTAGTTTTTTTTGTTTGTTTTCTTCACCCGTCACCATTGGGTTAAAAGACAAGCAAACACATATAAAGAAGCTGTGTTTTGTGTCTACAAGCTGTACAGAGTAACAACTTCTTATACAAACATAACTGAGCATCAGTAGTTCACAAATAAATATTATAATGACAAAATTTTCCTACCTATTTCCTTTCAGAATAACTGCATCCCACCACTCAACCTCTGGACATCCATCAGTTGTGCTTTTGATGTCTCGTTGCTCCAACTGTGCTAATTTAGCTGCTGAAGAAATGCCAGTCTTCTTTGCTACTTGAGAGATTTCATTTTGGAGTTTCTCTAGCCTAGCCTGTAAAATACAATATTGACACTCATTAAGCATATAAGACAGATACATCATAATAGAACCTATCTAAAAATGTTAACATTAGGGATATATCCATTTATTAACAATTTCTTTACCTTATAAAAGGAGCAACATCAATAAACATCTACATAGATATGTCTACAGTTACATGATTTTTCTTAGCCTTAAATTTAAACATAAAAATTACAATATGGCAGCCACACACATACCTTTGCTCTCTCCCTCTGAGCTAGCTGTATGAATCTGCCCTGGTCATGGAACTTGAACATTCTTTTAGCTTTCATGGAAGGTCTAATACTGACACGATTATCAAAGAATGTACTTTCAACAGTATCTTCAACAGGCTTCTCCTGTAACTGTTGCTTGAACTCCTCTCGTTTCTTTGCACGTATGTTGGCCTGCAATGGAAAGTTCACTGAAATGCTGCAAATTTCACATACATGAACATACCAATACACACACTATAGAAATCTATTCCACACAATATTTAGTCATAAATTGTTGAACAAGCTTTTTCAATATCATCTCTTTGCTGCAAAGATACTTGAAGTGAAAATTATTTACCTTTAAAGTGGGAATCCGCTGTGTCAGATGAACCTCCTTTCCACTCATGTCTACAGTTCTTCCTTCAGCATCGAGAATAAGAGGAGTTGGCTTGCTCTGTTCACCCTGAGGTTTAGCTGGTGGAGGGGCTCCACCAGCTCCACCTACACCAGCTGCCAAGGCACTTCCAATTCCTATTGCAGACACATTACCAAGTTGTGCTTGAATGCGTGCTTGTAGTTCAGCAATGCGAGAACTCACATCAGTGCTCCCAACAGCAGCTAAGACTGCTGGGGAAGCTTGGTTGATCAAGGGTACAGCTGCAATAAAAATTTAAAAAATTATTGTTCATTCTAAAAAAATCAAGATGACAGTAGCAGGGTTATCAAGAATTTTAACAAATAGGAATAAGTTACACATTCTACTGAAAAAAGTAGTAGTCCATCTCCAAGATTTCTATCAATGATTCTAATTTAATAAAAGAACTTCTTGTTTAATTAGTCTTATTTTCATCTATCTATCTATCTCAATGAAAGAAGAAGAAAAAAAATCTAAACAATGAGGCATCTCAATTACCTAGAAAAAAATTAAATGTATTGAGATTAACAGTGACAGGAATACAGCTAGTTTATCTGAACATAATGCTGCAGATTTTTCAGAAGAAACAGTAATTCCTAATTCCAACTTTAGTTAATCATCAATGAATTGAATGTTACTGAGTTGTTGCATACCTGCTCCATTGGTTGCAGGTTTTGGCTCCACTGGATGCAGGTTTGCCATTGCTTTTTTTCTTTCCTCAATAACTGCCTGTGCCTTGGCCATAATATCCTTAATCTGGAATTCATAAAAATGTAAATGAATATCCATCTTATAGAATAATATTGTCATCACTAATATAAAAGCAAGAATATCAATAACAATAAAAGTGATAATATCATCAGTACATACACAAAAAATAAGGTTTATGCTACCCTACCTGCTGAGCTTGGATCTGGCCAGGGCTGACTGTGTTATTGGGAGCTGTGGTGGGTGGGGGTGGGGGTTGCTTGTTCTCAGGTGGTGGCTCCTTCTCCTCCTTGACCCTGGCTCTCTTGCTGTCTTTCTCCCGATCATTTTCATCTTTGTGTGTGCGCTTACGAGAGGATGAACTTTTGACCTTGGCCCCAATATCTTCTAATACAATAAATGCCTGAAAAATGGTAGAAAATTTAGAACTGAATTATAATTCATCCATTCTATGAATACAATTATAAAGATTAAATAATATGTGAAGCAAATAATTGTCTGTATCTGATAATAATACATTCAACATGGATATGATGCTGATGCACCAACAGAACATCCAACAAAACAGATATTAACTTCTAGACTGATTGAGTTTAAGAAAAATTATTTGTGTAAGAAATAACTGTCTGTGAGAATACTTTATTATTTTCCTTCCAAAAACATATTTGTGATTCTTAAAAACTACAGGAACACCTAATGAAAATTTTACATGTAATAGGTAGAAAATGACATTGACTACATTAGTATGTTCTTAGAAAAAACAAATATAGTTCTTCCCTCACCTTTTCTGCTAACTTGTATGCTAAACTCTTATCAACATAACCCATAAGCTTGTCTTCCACTTTTCTCTTGTCACATCCTGAGTCGACAGCATGAGTAATGGCTGAAACAATACTTGACCTATCACGAGTCACGTATTTGTAGACCATTTTCTCTACTGCCGCTTTGTAGTCCTCATACTCTCTCTTTGAAAGCGACATGACTGCAATGTGTATTGAGTATCTCTGAAAAGGAAACTGTACTCATTATTTGGTACATGGAGATTTATATTGCATAAGCTAAAATACATAATACTGTTCTGTGTCCCTATATTCCTTTTTGTCTTGGAGATCATGCAAACTTGTAAGACATATATACTTGACTAGCTGTCAATCCAAAAAAAAAAAAAAAAAAAAAAGAAAAAAAAAAAAAAAAAAAAGAAAAAAAAAAAAAAAAAAAAAAAGTATGTAATATGATGCATTCACAGAGGTCCCACTGGCCAAGTGCTTTGTCTGGGGAACATAGAAATGGGTTTGCTTATGCCTCTGAAGATAAATCCACTTCTTCATTATTATTCCAACATAAGGGGAAGACTGCTTAGAACTTTTTTTTTATCATTCATTTCATTTATATTTAATTATATTTTAATCTTTATTTTTCTTTTGATTTTGACTTTCTTTTTTCATTTTTTTTTACTAGTAGTAATTGTAGATATAATCAAATTAAACTCTACGCTCGTATTTGGCAGCAAATAGACCTTTCTTTTTCTAATCAAAGTTTAACATGACAGACAGGTAATGATTGATAATGTTAAAAATAATCAGCTGAAATAAAACAATGCTATTTGGGCATGCTATACACAACCAATCAATACTAGCTTCTTAAATGCATTTTATGTCTCAGTAAAATACATAACATATCAACTTCTTATTTCAGCTTCTCCCATCAGGGGTCACCCACAATAGAATGATCCACATCATAGTCTTGGCTTGTTTTTAAAGCCGGCTGCCATTCCTACAGCTAACTCTCCCCATTCATCTGGGCTTGGGACATTCTATTAAATTGTGGACTCCCATGTCTGTAGGCAATTGAGGTGGTGTTCTTTCAGCCCCAGCATGAAGTGACTGCTAATCAAAAGCATAACATTTGAGAGTACTCATTCTTTTCACTTTCATGTTACTTATTACATAAATAAAGATTTTTTCATTCTCTTTAAGATTCTGTGCATGTTGATATACACTAGTGGTTCCCAAACTTTTCCAGGCTGGCACCCCCTTGGCTTTCAGCTGGAATCCTAGCATCCCCTCTCCATGCACACATGTAAACATACCTTTTTCATTTCAATATGTTTCAAATTGAAAACAAACAGATTAAATGCAAACATAATTTAGTGAACCAACTTATTCAGCAATTTTGTAAAAAACAAAAAGTTATCTATTAACCCATTCGCCCTGGATTTATGTTCTGTCCCCTGTAGATTTTAGTGAATTTTGGTACATACAAATGGCTCCATATGTGCTCAGCCAGCAAGGAGTCTATCAGTAGGCCCTAGTTACCGATTTTCCCATTCATTGAATTGGTGGGAAAATTAATACCTTTGCTATTGATACTGTTATTCTTGTTATTGATGTTATGATTATTAAATTTTAGACAATGAAATGATACAAAAAAAACTTTCCTAAAGTGAAGGAAAAGGGTAAACAGGTGAAATAGGTAGTTCTTGATAACTGGCTATTTGGTGATTAAGAACTTGTGTAGCCATCTATCTGTAAATACAATAAATAAATGTGTATCAAAGTGGGCACGGCATCTATTCTTGCCATGTGGGGCGAATGGGTTACCTGCTCTTAATGTCATCCAGTCGCCTCCCTACCACCTACTTTTGCCTCACCCCACCCCACCATATCTCTCCACTGTCCCTAGGGAGGGCAGTACCGCCTACTTCGGGAACCAATGATCTACATTATACTACTTATTACTTATTACCAAACTTCATAATAACTATATTCTTTTAAAAAGTGATGCACTGATAAGATTTACAAGGACTATACAATTCATATAAAAAAAATCACTAGTGGATTCTGCTGTGCCTCTCACTTTTGGTGGATTAGATTGCTCAAGGTAATTTGGTATGCACTAACTGAGCTGAGTGAAATGGACATATTGATTGTTGTTATTCAAAACATTAACCCTTATTGGTAGTGATGTGTATCAAAGTCAATACAAGTAAAGTCTCCCTACTTTAGGTTTCAACAACCCTTGTTGGGGGTGATGTGTATCAAAGTCAATACAAGTAAAGTCTCCCTACTTTAGGTTTCAACAACCCTTGTTGGGGGTGGGGTGGGGATTCAGGGGTACAATAGGAAATGGTCTACCATGACCAATCACTACAGAAAACTACTGGATATAGAGAACAATAGAGAGAGTGAGAGAGAGATAGAGAGAGAGAGAGAGAGAGAGAGAGAGAGAGAGAGAGAGAGAGAGAGAGAGAGAGAGAGAGAGAGAGAGAGAGAGAGAGAGAGAGAGAGAGAGAAGAGAGAGAGAGAGAGTCAGAAAGAGAGAGAGAGAGTCAGAAAGAGAGAGAGGGAGTCAGAAAGAGAGACAGAGTCAGAAAGAGAGAAAGTAAGAGAAAAGTCAGTCAGTCAGTAAGAGAAAAAGAGAGTCAGTAAGAGAGAGAGAGAGAGAGAGAGAGAGTCAGAGAGAGAGAAAGAGAAAGAGAGAGAGAGAGAGAGAGAGAGAGAGAGAGAGAGAGAGAGAGAGAGAGAGAGAGAGAGAGAGAGAGAGAGAGAGAGTCAGAGAGAGAGAGAGAGAGAGTCAGAGAGAGAGAAAGAGAGGGTCAGAGAGAGTTTGAGATATTTAAACTATTAATTGTGTTCATAAATAACTCCAAAAGTTCTTAGTTAACCACATGCTGCTGTGGAAAATGCTGTGCCCATTTCTTATTTTCTGGTGAAATATCTCTGCAAATACATGGTTCTGCTAGTGCTTAGCCACAAAGGAGTCAATCAGCAGACTGTGTGACCTTACATAATTTCACCTTTCCTTTAATTGGTGGGAAAAACGTATTTTTTATTAATGCTATGAATAATTATGGTGTTATTTTTATTATAAATATTATAATTACTGTAATGTTATTAACATTAGTAACAGCAAAATAAGTGGGTGTGGCATATACAGTGGGCATGTACATGCCATGCCCACTGTGTGTTTACTTGTTTAATTCATTTTACACATAGCTGGCTACACTTGTACTAGGTCATCAATGAGCCAATTACAAGTACTGTCTGTCTCACCCGTTTACACTTTCCCTTGATTTTCAAAAATATTTTATATTATCTGATTTTGCTGTTACTACTGTTTATAACATTACAGTAATTATAATGGTTATAATAAAAAATAACACAATCAATATTCGTAGCATTAGTAAAAAATATGTTTTTATTGCCAATTAAAAGGAAGGTGACATTAGGTAAGGTCTACCTAATGGTCTACTAATGGTCATGGTCTACAATTCGACTCCTTTGTGGCTAAGCACTAGCAGAGCCATCTATGTGCAGAGACATTTTACAAAAAAATATAAAAATGAGCACAGCATTTCCCCATCTTTTATGCATTTTCCCTGGCAGCACATGGTTAATCACATTATCAACAATAAA